GGGAGCCGACCCCAGCTACCACGTGGAGGCGTACGAAGGACGGCTACATCGAGGAGTGGAACCTCCCCCCCGCTGATGACCCTGACCTCCTCGACGCCGACATCCACACAGTATTGCAGGACCTCAGCGAGGATTTACACAGGCTCCTCTGGACTCAGGCCGCTACGCATGACCATGGTGACACGTTGGCTGGAGGCGCGGACATGGTCACTATCCGCATTGAACAAAGGAGGCTCCTCGCAAACGGTGATTTCAGCGACTGGGCCCTCAACAACACCATCATCAGTGGAGGACAATGGACCAGAGACCGCCTCCACAACGCGGGCTACCAGATCGACAAGAACTGCGACCGATGCAGCGCGGGAGTTCCTGAAACCTTGTTTCACCGAGTGTGGCAGTGCGAGGCGAATGTGGGACCTGAGTTTGAGGCCAGTGATAAGTTACTACCGCGAGCCGTGGCGGGGGTCGATGCCGACCCTGCCCTGTGGCTCCGCGGCATTCCCTCTGTCGCTCTCACTACCCCAGCGTTCGAGCCATTGACTGGGAGGGACGGGTGGGAGTTTGTTGGTGCGGCGCGGGAGGGTCTGCCGTCGTGGGAAGGAGCTCGTAACGCTGAGGGCGAGTTGTTTCTTTTTGGTGACGGGTCTGGCGGCGCCTTTTCCGACGACGTCAGGCGACGGCGTGTTGGTTCTGGCCTCGCGGCCCTCCGATGGGACCCTCCCTCGGCCTCCTGGGCCCTCCACGCGGGCCTCCTCGCCCCCCTCTCAGGCCCCCGCCAGACCGTCCCAAGAGGCGAATTGCATGCGTTTTGCCTGGCACTGGAGACGTGCCAGCAGGATTTCACGTTTGTTACAGATCACCTAGCCCTGCAGCGCGGCTGGCAGAATGGCAGATGTCTCAGACCTGGCAGCCTTAGAGGCAAGAATAAGAATGGGGATCTCTGGCTGAGAATTCGGCACCTCGTGCAGGATCGATCTGGCGGCGGCTCTTCGGTCTCGGTGCTCTGGACCCCATCTCACGCCGATCCCCTGACTTTGCATGGTTTCCAAAAATTTCTTGCTCTCGGCAACCAGCATGCCGACGAGCTCGCGGGAAGCGCGGCCCACAAGTCGGCCACCCTTGCCCTCCCGCCAGTCCCCAGGACCGATGAATACGACGCTATTGCAGCCATCGTCCGTCAGAGGGCACGACTGATCTTACGTTCCCTAGGCAAGAATTCAGAGCCTCGAGGACTGTGGCCAGAGAGGCAACCCACCCAGGAGGCAGCCCCTCGCTCTCTGTTGCAGACCGCGATCGCGGCTTCTCAGCACAAATTCGAGCGGTGTGCAGACAAATGGAGATGCCCTGCCTGCCTCATCATCGCTGACGCTTGCCACGTTATTCCAGCTGCCGCCACAGAGTGTGTGCCGCCTTGCCCCCTTCCCGAGTTTGCTGCGTGTGAAGAGGTGCTGTGGTCGAGGGGTCCCCGCGTGATCAGTGGCAAGGCGATTCACCCCTCCCACACTTTGGCCACCATCCCCAAGTGGCAAATGTTCTTCTGTGTGAAGTGCGGCCACACGGCCACGCACCAGGTTAAAAGCCTTCTTTTGCCGTGCCCCCTCTCCCACCAAGTGGGAGAGCGCAGGGCCCTGGGACCCACTGGCAAAGGCCTCGAGAACCTCAGCAGGATCAGGCGAGGCCTCCACCCGTCCAGATCGGGTCCCAGCAAGTCAGTGCTAGAGGCTATGCACGTTTCGGCAGCCGAAGCCGCGATCGGTTCCTACGCGGCGGGTGCTGCCTCCGAGTAAATTGTGAGGCCAGGGGGGCCTGTCGCGGTGGGCCGTGGGATGTCGCCCCCCACGGCCCTCCGAGAAATACTGGATGGCCCCCCTGGCATCTCTGGGTTCCGAACGGACTACGTCCGATTGCTCCACTCCGCTCCTCCAACCCTTCTCCGTATAGACTGCTCCCCCATCGCACACCAGACTTGTCTGTAGGGCGGGCTGGGCGTTTCGCCGGAGACCTCACTATTTGTTACCCTTAAGCTGAAACAGTGGCAACAATTCCACAGATGCAGGGCGGGTGATTTTCAAAATGTGGCTCTCGCCTGAGCGCCGCGCACTTTCCGTGTCCGAAATTTTAAGAATTTAGCAGATTCCCCTGGTCAGCGCATCAGAAATGGCGGTTTGGAAAGATTCCAGATCATGGGGGCGCAACAGTTACGTTGATTCGCGGTGTGTCAAAACGCAACAGCCAAGTTCAACTGTGGCGTTGGAATCCCGAGAACAATGTTGTCACATGCTTTAAAGTCTTCAAACAGTTGTCATCAAACGAGGCAGTTCCCTTTGTGGAAATGAACCCTCGCAAGTGCCTGTGAAGTGGGAGCTTGGAGGAACGGTTTTTTCCAACATCATTGATGACTCTTGGGATTACACTGGTCCTCCTCCCACCTCCTCATCATCCTCCTCCATATATATATATATATATATATATATATATATATATATATATAACTCGTCCCTGTCGCACCCCGAGGCAGGCCCCACAATTGTCCAGAAAAGGCCCCCGAACTGCGTCCAACAGGCCTCCGAGAAGCTTCCCAGGACACCCCCCACTTGGAGGCCTCTTGGGCCGTCTTGGAAGCCTCTTGGGGGCTGCTTAGGCCGTCTTGGGCCATCGTGAGACAATCTCTCCCTCCACCTCCCTCCGTCTCATCCTCCACCTACTCCTCCACCTCCCCTTCCACCAACCAGATCGCATCGGGAGCGCGCCCGGATCGGCGGCACTGGCCGGAGGCCACTGCAATAACTCGCCCCTGTCGCACCCCGAGGCTGGTCGAAAGGGCGGGCCAGGCGTTTCGCCTTAGACTTCCTCAGCACTTACGACCCTGAAGCTTAGAAACATTGGTAGCAGTTTGACAAATGGAGGGCGGGTCGCTTCCAAAATGTGCCTCTTGCCGTACTATGTCATAGAAAGGCGTCGCGCTCACTTGATCTTAACATTTGCAAGGGTTTCACGGATTGAGGGCGGGTCGTCTTCACAATGCGGTTGTCGCCTCAACGCCGCGCACATTCGTCTTAACAAATTACACGGGCTTCACGGGTTGAGGGCGGGTTGTTTTCAATATGTTGCTACTGCCTTAGCGCCGCGCACATTCGTTTCACAAGCTTGCAAAAGCTTCACGGATTGAGGACGGGTGATGTTCAAAATGTGGCTCTCGTTTTAGCGCCGCACACACTCGTTGTATACATTTGCAAGAGCTTCACGGATTAGGGGCGGGTCCTTTTCAAAATGCGGTTCTCGCCTAAGCGCCGCGCACATTCGTTGTTGTTCATGTGCAAGGTTTTCACGGATTCCCACGATCAACGTACCCGGAATCGTGTTTGGACGGGCTCAAGACTGTGAGGGCGCAGCAGTTACGTTGATTTGCTGCGTTGTCGTCCCAGGAATTGCGTTCTCATACGGCAGGACCGTCAAGACGCAACAGTCAAGTTGGTTCGTGGCGTTGGGGTCCCGAGAATGGTGTTTGCAACGCTTCAGGGGCTTCAAACGGTTGTCGCCCAACGAGGCAGTTCCCTCAGTGGAAATGAACCCTTGTAGGGGCCTGTGAAGAGGTAGCTCGGGGGATGGTTGATTACAACATCGTTGATGACTCTTGGGTTTACACTGGTCCTCCTATCCTTACCCTTGTGAGCAATTTCTCCTTATCGCACCCCCAGGCCAGTTTTTAGGGCGGGCCCGGCGTTTCGCCTGAGATTTCCTCACCACTTATGATCACGAAGCTTGAAACATGACAACCGCTTCGCAGATGGAGAGCGGGTGGTTTTCGAAGTGTGGCTCTCGCCTTAGCGCCGCGCATATTCGATTTTAAACTTTGCAACAGCTTCACGGATTGACGGCGGATGGTATTCAAAATGTGGTTCTCGCCTGCGCGCCGCGCATATTCTTTTTAAACAGATGCAAGACCTTCACGGATTGAGGGCGGGTCGTTTTCAAAATGTGGTTTTCGCCTTACCGCCGCGCACACTCGACTTACACAATTGCAGCAACTTCACATTTTGATAACTGTTGCTGCTCAAAAATGTGGTTTTCGCCTTAGCGCCGCGCACATTCGTTTTACAAGTTTGCCAAAGTTTCACGGATTGAGGGAGGGTGGTTTTCAAAATGTGGCTCTCGCCTGAGCGCCGCGCACATTCGTTGTTGCTCAATGTGTAAAAGTGTCTCGGGTTTCCATGACCAACGTACCAGACATTGCATTCTGGAATGATTTAGGATTACGTATGAGGGCGCAACAGTTATGTTGATTCGCGGCGCTGAAGTCTCAGGATTGGCGTTTTGGCAAAATTCAGGATCGTCAAGACGCAACAATCAGGTTGATCCGTGGAGATAAAATCCCGAGAACCATGTTTCGGCATGCCTCAGAATCTTCAAACGGTTGTCTTCCGACGAGGCAGTTCCCTGTGGAAATGAACCGTTTGGGGGCCTATGAACAGGCCTATGAACAGGGAGCTTGGAGGGAGGGTTTATTCCAACATCTTTGATGACTGTTACACTGGTCCTCCTCCTCCTCCTCCTTATCCTCCTCCTGCTGCTGCTGCTGTTCCTCCTCCTCCTCCGGCAAACTTCCTAAAAATAGGTTCTCGCATCAGACACCCCCGAAGCTCATACCCAACTGTGACGAACTGTGCAGTGGTTACAGGGACGGAAGGCGGACCCTTCTTAAAGCTGGGATAGCGATGGATACCTTGCTGAATTGCATCATCACGCCCTGTCCGCAATTCAGACAACGTGCAGAGGAGGAGGAGCAGCAGGAGGAGGATGAGGAGGAGGAGGAGGCGGAGGAGGAGGAGGAGAGGGAGGAGGAGGAGGAGGAGGATGAGGAGGAGGAAGAGGAAGAGGAGGAGGAAGAGGAGGAGGAGAAGGAGGAATAATAAAGCGGGAACTGCCTCTCCCTCTCCTGCCGACACACATGAGCTGCCTCGGCACCCGCGGGAAGGGGCAGGGGCAGGGGAGGGTGGCACCTGCCCACCGGTGGCGGCGCGCACTGGCTGCTGGCCGACGGCGGCAGCGTCCACGAACCGCGTTGCGCCAGAGCCCGCGGGACGAGGCCGGGGCCCGTCACTGCCCCGAGCCTGTGGGAGCGCGGCACACGCCCCCTTCACGCCCTTCCCATCCTGATCCTCATCCTTTTCCTCCTCCTCCTCCTCCTCCTCCTCTTCCCCCTCCTCCTGCTCCTCTTCCTCCTCCTGCTCCTGCTCTTTCTCCTCCTTCTCCTCCTCCTCCTCCTCCTTCTCCTCCTCTTCCTCCTCCTCCTCCTCTTCCTCCTCGTTCTCCTCCTGCTCTTGCTCCTCCTCCTGCTCCTCTTCCTCCACCTCGTAATCCTCCTCCTCCTAATCCTCCTCCTCCTCCTCCTCAGCTCCTCCTCGTCCTCCTCCTCCTCCTCCCCCTCCTCTTTTTGCTCCTCCTCCTCCTTCTCCTCTTATTCCCATCTGTCTAATTCGTATTGTTACACTTCCTCTTACAATTTCGTAGTATGATTAGTATTATTAGGATTCTTACCATGATCATTAGTAGTAACACAAGTGTACTAGAATTCGTACTAACCGTTTATTATTATTAGTAGTAGATTAGTGTGATGCATCATATCGTTATTCGCGGTAGTATTACCATTCGTATTCGTATGGCTTGCATCGGTAGTATTAGTATTGTTACTGTTATTATTACCATCATTATGATGATTATTGGTAATTCTATCAGTACTGATAGTAGCGTCAGCACTATTAATATGGTTATTATTAATATTCCTGGTAATAGTAGTAGTAAACGTAGTAGTAGCAGCAGCAGTATTAGTATTAGTATTAGTATTAGTATTAGTATTAGGATTAGTATTAGTATTAGTATTAGTATTAGTAGTATTAGTAGTAGTTGTTGTTGTTGTAGTATTAGTAGTCGTCATAGTCATAGTAGTAGTAGTAGTAGTAGTAGTAGTAGTAGTAGTAGTAGTAGTAGTAGTAGTAGACGTAGTAGTAGTAGTAGTAGTAGTAGTAGTAGTAGTAGTAGTAGTAGTAATAGTAGTAGTACTAGTAGTAGTAGTAGCAGTAGCAGTAGCAGAGTAGCAGTAGTATTAAGTATAGTATAGTCAGCAGTAGTAAGCGTAGCGTAGTAGTATTAGTAGTAGTATTAGTAGTGTAGTAGTATAAGTAGTACGAGTACTAGTACTACATACTAGGTACTAGTAGTAGCTTCGATAGTACTCATCGTATAAA